TTCAACTGTGAAGTTTTTGGTTTTTGTTTTTTAAGATTTCTTTATTATTATTATTGGAAAGATTTACAGAGAGAAGGAGAGATAGAGCAAGATCTTCTATCCACTGGTTCACTTCCAAAATGGCTGCAATGGCTGGAGCTGAGCTGCTCTGAAGTCAGGAGCCAGGAGTTTCTTCTGGGTTGCCCCTGTGGGAACAGGGTCTCAAGGACTTGGGCCACCCTCCATTGCTTTTCCAGGACATAAACAGAAAGCTGAATAGAAAGCAGAACAGGCAGGACACAGACCGGCGCTCGTAGAAGTTGCCCTCACTTGTAGGTAGAAGATAAGCCAGTTGAACCAAAGTGCTGACTCTTCATCCATAAAGTATTTATACAAAATGTGACTACAGGGCATGGTGCAATGGCTCAACTGGCTGAAATGCACCCCTTGCAAACACCAGGATCCCATAGGGTGCTGGTTTGTGTCCCAGTTGCTCTACTGCCCATCCAGCTCACTGCTTATGACCTGGGAAAGCAGCAGAAGGTGGCCCAACTTGGGACCCTACACCCATTTGAGAGACCCAGAAGAAGCTCCTACTTTGGGATTGCCTCCGTGTTGGGGAGTGAACCAGTGGAACAAAGATCATTTTGTTTTTCCTTCCTCTTCTTCTGTATATTTGCCTTTCCAGTAAATACAAGGAAATTTTTTAAAGTGACGACAGATACGCAATTGTACATATTTCACACCCCTCCCCCTCAGACTTGGAACTTATCACCCTACCCATTAGACCTTCCCTGACCACTGTACTAAGAATAACATCAGGGCAGGCATTTGGCCCAGCCCATCTTAAGCCAGTTACAGGGCTGATATTGTGACACAGTGGTTCAAACCACAACCTGCAATGCTGGCATCCCATATCAGAGAAGCAATTCTAGAGTCAGCTGCTCTACTTCCAGTCCAGTTCCCTACTCATGTGCCTGGAAAGGCAACGGAATATGATCCAATAAATTCGGCCCCTGCCACACGTATAGGAGACATATGAATTTCCTTTCCTACTGGCTTCTGCCGCCCCATCTGTAGTCACTGTAGCCATTTTAAGAATGAACTAGTGGACATCTCTCTTCTTTCTCTATCTTCTTCTGTTTGTTATTGTCTCTTTAAATTAATACAATCTTCTTTTAAAAAAAAAAGATGTCAGTTTGAGTATCCATAACCCAGCCCAGAATTTCTGAGTTCATATCTGAGCTTGGCTCTCAATGCCAGCTTCCTGCTAATACATACCTGACAGGCATTGGGTAATGGTGCGTGGAGCTGAGCCCAGGCCATCCACACAGAAGAGCTGGATTAAATTCCCAAGCATTTGGGACTGAACCAGCAAATGAGAGCTCTTTTTTTCTCTGTCAAATGAATAAAATTAATAACTTTTTAAGTTCATGAAAGAATAAAATCAGAGAAAATTTAAAAAGAAAAAATATCATCCATCCCAGAACTTCCACTTTGTTCTCACTGGTTTATGCTTTATATATAAAGTATGTGTATATGTATATATAGTATGTTTAGCCATCTGACATAATATTTTATCTGTATATGATTATCATAACTGGAATTAAGCTGTTTAAAACCTTGTAAAGGCAGGAATTTTACTGCTTTTCTCTTACATGTCTGATGCATAGGAGTTACTCAGTAAACATGTATTGAACTAATACTGAAAATGAGTATAGTGGGGTCATTGTTGTGATGTAGCTGGTTAAACCTTTGTCTGCCAGCAGCATCCTAGATGGGTGCTGAGAACCAATGAGTCCATCTGCAATCCAGCTCCCTACTGACATGCCTGGGAAAGCAATGGGCGACTGCCCAAGTGCTTAGGTCCCTGAGCTCACTTAAGAGACCCAGAAGAAGCTGTGGACTCAGCATCAGCCTAGTCCAGCCCGCAGCCATTGCAAACATGACAGCCACTCAGCTTAGCTCTGGCCATTGCAAGCATTTGGGGAGTGAACCAGAGAATGAAAGATATTTCTCTCTGTCTCTTCTCTCTGTAAATCTGCCATTCCAATTTTAAAAAAAAAAAATAGATTTTGGTTATTTTACACAAAATAATCTGTAATTCCATTTTTCTTAGCTTTTTTTATGTACTCTTATTATAGCCACATAGATGGTGATAATTTTATATCCTTTGAAATGATTTTATCACTTTCTTTTGAATATGGCCTTTTTTTTCCTCTGAGAGTCATAGAGAAAGGGGGAGCTCCCCATTCACTGGTGTATTGCTCCCCAGATGCCTACAGCAGCTGGGACTGAGCCAGGGCCTAAACCTAGGAGCAGAAACAAGGTTTCCCATTTAGCAACAAGAAGCCAGTTTCAGAAGCCAACCCAGGCATCAAACCCAGAAACTCCAGTATGGGACATGGCATCTCCACTGGCATGTTTAACCACCTGCTCTTTGACATTATATCTTATGTGGCTTATAAATCACACTGGGAATTGACCTGGAAACCACACAGTCATTGCTGGCTATTTCCTCGTGAACTTGAAGGCATTTGGTCGTGCTAGAGTATTTGCATCTGCAGAAGGTAGCACGGAGCTGCTGTGAGCTGACAGTACTTGTTACTCTCTCCAGGTGAAGAACATCATTTACCACGCAGTGAAAGATGCTGTTGGCACTCTCAAGGCTCATGAATCGAAACTGGCAAGGTCTTAGGCATGGAGAAATTCCAGACTCCCCTGGGAAGCAGGTCTTTCCCTCACACCACTTACAGGGAGCAGCAGGGTTCACTGCTGGAGCAGAGGCCCCTCACCCAGAGCCAGTGTGGTCAGTATTACAAACTCTCCAGCCACTCTTTTCTACGCTGCCTCAACACTGAAGGTTGACACAGGAAAGTCGCACTGTTCTCTCTCTCTCTCTCTCTCTCTCTCTCTCTCTCATACACACACACATGCACACACACAGTTTCAGACTACAAGCCGAGGTGGCACATCCCATCCTGTGGCCTTTTGGGAATTTGAATTGCCTGAACATCATTGGGCTTTCCTACACATTCTCCTGGTCTAAGATTTATATGGAAACCAGGAATGTGGGCACAGCTAGCTATTCTTCTCCTCTTGTGCCTCAATAAGTGGGAATGTGTCTGGAGGTGGGGAGAATCCGTAGCTGATGCACATGGAGGATGGTTGCTTCAACACACCTGGTGGGAGCCAAATGGGTCTCTGCACCTGACCTGTGGCAGGGCATCCCAGGAGCTGGGAGAAGCCATTCCCCACACTCTCCCGTGAACACTGCAATCTGGCAGGACCCGGGGAGAACCCACTGCTTTTCCCAGGAGGCTCCAGGATTAGGAAATGTGTGTATTTAGTGAAAAATAGGTTTGTAGTGAAATAGTTACTATTTCATGAAAGTAGATATTTTTAGAATTTTTGAAATACCACAATTGTTTTCCTGGATTATGAGGAAAGGCACATTACATTTAGTCTTCCTTTCGATGAAACTCTTTGAAGAAATAGGGTTTTTAGAATTCAGCTGCCCACTATAGCACAAAGTCAGCCAAAGCAGAATTTAAAAGAATTGGCTTTTTAGGGTTCTTTTAGTCTCTCCCGACTCCTTTCAGTCTTACCTTGAGGGAGCAGTCGTATGAAAACTTCATCAAGTCTGAGCTGTGGTGTGCTCCCCATGGACACATACTGGTGACTCCAGGAACCATTTTCAACTGTTACCAGCGTTCCCTTGGGACTCCGCCTACGTTTCCAAATACAAAGGAAAGTTTGATTTCCAACTTGAAGTTTTTTGTTTTGGGGTTTTTTGTCCAGAAATATTTTCAGCAAAACTTTCCAACTCAGTGGAGTTTTATTAAGAATTTATTTGAAAGTGATGGAATTCATTGGCCCAGAGGTACATTGGGAATTATATCTTTCCAGCTGTACTGTAGTGCCCTGCCGGTTTGTTTATATGTTCACAATTAACTTTTTTTTTAATAAAAATCATTTACTGTAGAATACTTTAATTTCACTTTCTGTATTTTAATTCTGTTGAAGGGCTGAATGGGATTTCCATGTTCTTATTAAAAATCTAACAAATTGTTTTGAGTGGACTTAATTCTTCTTATACCAGTCTTTGGAACAATCGAGGCCAAATTGCGGGCCATGTCAGAGGTGGGGATTTATTTCCATACTACATCTGATTGTTTCTCTATTTCCTGAACTTGTAGTTAGTTGGAAGAAAGTCGCCAGGGCCTGTTCACTGTGGTTCTTAGGACTTTGAGAGGGGACAGGGGACAGGACATGTGAATCAAGAAGCACGAGAAGAGCCAGGGTTGCGGAGTTTCTGCCCCGTCCTTCCTGGGGCAGAGTCTGAAAGGAGAGGGCCATGGGGCACAGCCACCTGGGCATGGCTTAGGACAGCCCATGGTGACACAAAACATGGAGCCTTCAGCCTACCTCCGAGGGAGCACCAGGAATTTGTTTATCAAGGAGCAATGTAGCACCTTGAAGGATGAGAAGAGACGGAAGAGAAAGTTGTGAAGAATAGAGAAAGGGGTTGTCGTCTGGATCTGCTTCTCTGGATCCTATGGGAAAACATCTTGGAAAGCGTCGGCCTGGAAATGGAATCATCAGGTTGCAATGGTCTTTTGTGCGTTCAAGCCTACTGGGCCTGGATTCTGACATGCAGGTTTGTCCTTTTAGCCTGAATGGGTATGGGCTGATGCTGTTGTCACCAAAAGAATTACCTCAACATAAAAGGTAGAGAAACGCAAAAGCTCAAAAATGGGACAGGAAAGGAGAACAGAAGGAGGGGCTTTGGAGCTTGGTTGGTGAAAATCAGGATGTGCACTAGCCTACATTCTGTAAATGAGCATCTTCAGAATTAGGACATGTGCTGCTGAGTGGTGCTGGCGTGGACTGCTGCAGCCCCTCCAAAAGGAAGGTGTCACCCTGCAGAGCCCAAGGCAGGGTGGGTCCTATCAGCAGGGGTGATTGGTAAGGGTGGGCAGGCACAGCTGTGACGGTGCTTCCGGGAGTTCAGGTGCATGTCTTTACCTGCCTGTAACTTGGGTGGGGGGAGTTGTCAGCCAGGTGGGCTTGTTGCCTGTGTTCTCATCCTAGCAGTGTGGCTTAGTGGTGTTGTATTCTTCAGCAAATTAATGAATTTTCCTAAGCTTCCCATTTCTGTATCGTCAAAATGAGGATAATTATGCCCTCTGCCTTCCAAGGTTGTCCTAAAAATTCCCTGGAGTCATGCATGTGAATCTCGGAAGCTTGTGCATACGGTCATGTTTCCTCCTAAGGTTTTTAGGCACGAAGCAGCCGGCAGTACCTCCAGAAAACAGAACAAGCAGTTAGGAACCAGGGTACTAAGGGTCGAAGGCGCATGCCCAGCCCTAGCAGGTGCTGGGGGGCGCAGCGCTGCCGCCGCGGCCTCCCCTTTAAGAACGCCGCCACCCACCGCCGTGGCTGCGGCAGGGACCTCCCCTTTAACTAACGGCGGCGGCTCCGCGCTCTTCTGCCCCCGCAACGGCTGCGGCTCCTGCGGCTCCTGCTGCCGCCGCCGCTCGGCTTCGGGTACCTGCCTCCTCGGCCCGGGCCGGATCCCCGCCTGGCGCTGAGCGCGGCCCCGCCATGGTGTCCTGGATCATCTCTCGCCTGGTGGTGTGAGTGTGGGGGCGGCGGCGGGCGCGCCCACAGGAGATGGAGGGCGGAAGGGTGTATCGGAGACCTGGGTGGACAGCGCCTCGGCTGCTAACCTCGGCCATATCTGGGGTTCCCCAGAGACAGGGAGCTTTGGAACCTGAGTGGCGCGTGGCGGGCCTTGGCTTCCCAAGGGCTTCACTCCCATTATTTTTAATAACTCCTTTGATTTTTAGTGTCCCTGTCCCCGCACCAGCCCCTCCTACGGTTTGATTTTATAAAAGGAGGTGGGCATGACCCTGTCCCAGCCGCCCCACCAGACTCTCGTGCAGCCCTGTCAGCCTCTCGGGGCAGGGGTAACAGAAGAGCGTGGGGGCAAGGCAGGGCCTCATTCCTGAGCTGGCAGGCTTTGCCAGCCGCTTGGTCGCTCGGAGGGCCCAGGCCCCATCCCCGCACGCTGGCTGGGCAGGGCACTAGTGCTGAGGATGCGCATGTCCTGAAGGCCCCGGGAAGCCGTATGGGCGCCCAAAGCAGAGATGCTTGGAGGACAAAGTATGGGAGGTAACGGCGAGAGGGCGGGTTTTGGAGCTGCGGCAGGGAGAACCTGTAGGGGCTTCCCTCCAGGCTGAAGCCAGGGCCACATGTGGAACTGCGTCCCTGGCATTGCCCCAATCTCCCGAAGGGAGTACAGACACTCCACCAAGACCCCAGACTTTGTCCTTAAGGCCAGTTTGCAAGGGTCCTACCTCCATCAGGCCAGTCCATGCAGGAGCAGGCAGCACCCTCAGGTTGCTAGGGAGTTGGGCCTCAGAGCCAACAACCCCTACCCCAGCAGGGGACCTGCCCCTCTGCTTGCACGACGGCCCCGCCCTGCTGCAGGCTTCTCAGGTTGGATTGTCTCCGAGCTCAGCAGAGTCTGGGGGCCTCCTGCCTCAGTGTGGGCTTTGCAGGATGGGGCCTGATTCTCTTACTCAAGGGGCATGCCTGTCCCATCTGTGTTCTGTAATGTGATCAGCCACAGACAGTGCCTTGAGCCGCAGACCCTCCCCTGAGCTAATCCCTGGGGTCTGGCCAGGAGGGAATAAGCCTCTTTGCCCCTCACTGAGCCTCTTGCCTCTGTGCCCTCTGCTCCCTACGTCCCCAGGGCCACAGTGGTGCCTCTGAGTGCCAGGTACAGGGCCCGGTTGGGTGGTGTAGGGTTTCTTGGCAGAACTGGCCCTGTCTGGGCCCAGACAACACCAGAAGGTGTTAAAGGCAGGCAGGTGGATGAGTATGAATGGACATGGGCTTGAGAAGGGAGCCCCCACCCCACCCTCCAGCCACAACCGTACCTCCACTCCCCATGACATGCTGTGTCTAACCAAGAGTCATGAACCCCTGAACCCTCAGGCCTCTGTGCCTCTCTATGCCTCAGGGAAGAGAAAACCTGTCCCAGGAGAAAGGAGGGTTATCCCTACCTAGCTGGGTAGAGTCTCCATGCTTTGCCCTAGCTGGGGTCCCCCATCTGGCTGATGAGAACCTCTGGAGTTCTGACCCAGAGGCCGCTGTGCTTGGCTGAGGGCTCCAGTAACCGTGCCTGCCCCCTAGGCTCATCTTCGGCACCCTGTACCCGGCCTACTCCTCCTACAAGGCGGTGAAGACAAAGAACGTGAAGGAGTATGTGAGTCCAAGACCCTTCCTCACAGCAGGAAGAGGGGAGGATGGGGTGTGTGATGCACTAGGGCAAAGGAGGTTCCTGGGTGCTCCCCTCTCCCAGCCTGGGTGATCCAACACCCATAGGGCACATCCCCTCCCATTGTGCCTGCAACATAGCCCACCAGCAGACCTGGGCTCAGCCTCAATGACTGGCAGGTGAGCTGAGGTCCCAGTGATACCCAGGGTCTCATGATTGGCAGGCAGGCCAGGCTGGGAACCCCAGGCATGCCCCCTCCCCCCCACCAACCATGCCCCTGCCTCCTCAGGTGAAGTGGATGATGTACTGGATCGTCTTTGCTTTCTTCACCACAGCTGAGACCCTCACAGACATCGTGCTGTCCTGGTGAGCTCTACCATCCCTGCCAGCCTCTCTGTGGGCAGACCCAGCATGCAAGGGTTCTCAGTTCCCTTCCCTGTACTGATCTGATCAGAGAGTGCCTGGGTCCTGCCTGACAGCAAAGCACCACAGGGGATTTGGGAGCCCTACTCGGTCACCCTTCCCCAGGGCCCTGGGCAGGTCACAGCTCTCACCCTGGGGCCCCCATTTGTCAAGCGGGCATGAGAGTCAATGCTGTAGACACCAGAAGCTTGCAGGGTTTTTTTTTTTTTTTCTTTCTTTCTTTCTTTTTTTTAAATTGCAAAGTCAGATATACAAAGAGGAGGAGACAGAGGAAGATCTTCCATCCATTGATTCACTCCCCAAACGGCCGCAACAGCCTGTGCTGTGCCGATCCAAAATCAGGAACCAGGATCTTCTTCTGGGTCTTCCACATGGGTGCAGGATCCCAAGGAGTTGGGCCATCCCCGACTGCTTTCCCAGGCCACAAGCAGGGGGCTGGATGAGAAGCAGGGCCGCCAAGATTAGAACCGGCACCCATATGGGATCCCACTGCAGGCAAGGCGAGGACTTTAGGCGCTAGGCTATTGCACTGGGCTCAAGCTTGCAATTCTGAAGCATTTCCCAGGTGTTGCAAGACTGTGTACATGGATGTGTGAAATACAAGAGCTCAGAAACCTATACTGAACGAGTGAAGGACTCTTTATAAGGGAAGGCCAACCACCCAGCCCATGAGACGCTGAAAGAGTTGTGCTTACAGATGCATCCTTGGGCTTGAGCCAAGTGCTTCTAGTAGAGGAAGGAGATTAGAAGAGAAGAGTTCAAAATTGAGGGTTAGAATGGATGATTGGGACAATAATTAAAACACTACTCAGCAAACCACATCCCAAGTCAGAATCCCTGGATTGAAGACCTGGCTCCACTTCTGATTCCAATATCCTATTGATGTGCAGCCTGGGAAGCAGTAGGCGATGACTTAAAGGGCTTGGGTCACTGCCACCTGTGTGGGAAGCCTTGGGCTCCTAACTTTGGCCTTGACCAGCCAAAGTTAGGACTTTTGGCCTTTGTCAGCAATTTTGAAGTGAGTGAGTGAACCAGTGGATGCATTTTCTTTCTTTCTCTGCCCCTGCACAGCTGGAAAAGCCTACTCCTCTTCCCAGGAGGGAGGGCCAGAGCAGGAAACTGAGGAGCTAGCATGGACCTGGGCACAGGGGAGAGATGGTCTGGGGGCCTGCCTTGGTGCAGACCCCAGAGCAGGGGAGAGATGGTCTGGGGGCCTGCCTTGGTGCAGACCCCAGAGCAGAGGAAAGAGGGAGAGGAAAGCTGCTGCAGTTCCCTGTCCTCCCTCCCTAAGGACTAGAAATGACCCAGTCCAGCGAGGCTGAGTGGGGCAGGCTGTGCAGAGTCCTGCAGTTTCCACATTGCTGAATCCTATGCCCTCCTGATCTCCCCGACCCCATGCTCTGTACCGTCCCTGTTCCCAAACAGGTTCCCCTTCTACTTTGAGCTCAAGATCGCCTTCGTGATATGGCTGCTGTCTCCTTACACCAAGGGTTCCAGCGTGCTCTACCGCAAGTTCGTGCACCCGACCCTGTCCAACAAGGAGAAGGTTGGTCCTCACCCTTAGTTCTCTGGCCTTCCCCAGGCATCTGGTTAGCCTGAAATGACCTGGCAGAGTCCCCTCAACCCTAGAGCATGCACTGCTTGTGTCTCCATGTGAATGAGGAGGGATGGTGGCAGGGTCTCAGGAGCAGCCCCTCCACCTCTCACTTGTTCCTCCTTCCCACTGCACTCTCAGGAAATCGACGAGTATATCACGCAGGCCCGAGACAAGAGCTATGAGACCATGATGAGGGTAGGCAAGAGGGGCCTGAACCTCGCCGCCAATGCCGCAGTCACGGCTGCTACCAAGGTGAGTGAGATGTGAGGGACAAGCCCGGATGTCCTTAGACTCACATCCTGTGTAGTCCATCTCATGCCCCAGGCTGGGCCGCTTGGCACCCAACCTGTCCTCAGACCTGTGAAACTCAGGGTTCTAGACCTGGCTGTGCCACATACACATACACACACCTGTCCCAGCTGAGCTGGGTTGGGTTTCTATATTACTCCAAAGGAAAGAGTGGCCCCCCATGGGCCAGGGTGAGGAGACTCACCTCTGGCCCCACCCTGCCTCTTCCCTTGCTCTTTGGGTGCGGCGGCGGTGGTGGTGACCCAGGGCCAAGGAGTGCTGTCAGAGAAGCTCAGGAGCTTCAGCATGCAGGACCTGACCCTGATCCGGGATGAAGATGCCCTGCCCCTGCAGGGGCCCGATGGCCGCCTCCGCCCAGGCCCTGGCAGCCTCCTGGATACCATCGAGGACTTAGGTGCAGGCAGGACCTGGGACTGGTGGAGAAGAGGGTGGGGGCAGGGCTCAGGGGCAATGAGGCCAGGACCCATGTTCTCCTTTTCTCCTTGCACCCAGGAGACGACCCTGCCCTGAGCATAAGGCCCAGCACGAACCAGACCGATTTCCGTACAGAGCCCTCTGAGGAGGACATGGGAGACAAGGCCCCCAAGAGGGTCAAGTCCATCAAAAAAGTGCCCAAGGCTGAGGTGAGAATGCAGGGCTCCAGCCTGGGGATGTGGAGGGTAATAGCTCTGGCTGAGCTGTCCCCTCCTTCCCTTTACAGTCACCATCTTCCAAGACCCTGAAGACGAGGCCCAAGAAAAAGCCTGTGGCTGGGGGCGATTCAGCTTAAGCCCCTCTGCCCCCTCATCTCTACCCCACGGGCTACAGAGCCAGGAGGAAGCTTGGGGCCATCTGAGCCCAACCCAGCCCCTTCTTCATGCTGTGCCACCAGCCTGGGGTGTCTCAGCATGGGGCCTGCCCAGTGGACACTCCTCTGGAGGGCAGGCCCGGTGCTGGGAGATGAGGGTGGAGCCTGGCCCAGAGCCTGAGAACTGAGCCACCCAGGGAGATGGGGGAAGGCTCCTCAGCCTGTCTGGCCCTTCTCCCTCCTCCTACCCAGCCCTGTCCCTGCCCACCCAGTGCCTTGCTGAAGACCATGGCCATCCTCTCCTCTTAGGTCCCCACACGCGTCCACTGCTCTCTGAGTTGGAGGCAGCATGGACCACAGCCCAAATGGACCAAGGCTGAGCCTGAAGGCACCCGTGAGAAAAGGGGGATCCACTGGGACTGCCTCAGGGAGGGATCAGGTGGGGGCCAGCAGGTCACTGTTATAACCCGAGGACAATTGGATTTAGTGTGGGCCAAAATGGTCAGGAGGGCCGGGGCTGCAGCCGGCTCAGAAGGTGCCAACTATCTCCACTAAAAACAGTGTGGGGTGGGGGTGGGGCACCCACTCAAGGACTCTCTCTCCAGTGGTCACTCCATCTGCCCTCAGCCCCCTAGCCCCAAGGCCACCTCCTCCCCTCCTTGTCTCCCAATCTCTGAGTTCAGAAGACCCCAGTCCATGAGAGAATGGGGTTCTGAGGGACCCTGTTCCTGCCATATGCCCTGGGCTGGACTCCTTTCCCCACTTGGAACTGGGGGCCCTACCCCAGGATCCCCCAACCCCTGTTCCCATTTTCTGTGCCAAGTAGACCTGGCCCTATGTGAACAGAGCCCCAGTCCAGCTCAGCCCAGCCTCCACCCACACCCTGCTCCAGCTTCTGCCAGGCAGACCCTGAGAGGAGGACAGGAAGGCAGGAGCCAGGGGCTCCAAAAGCGTTGGGAGCCAGGAGAACTTTGACACTGGACGAGCCAATAAACCCACCGCTGGCACCTCATGCTCTTTGGCCTCTGAATGTTGTTCTTGCCTCACTCATCTGAGGGACGGGAAGGGGCCCTGAGTTAAGCAATAGCAAGACCAGCTATGGCGCATGGTAGGGCTGGGGTGGGAAGATGCAGGGACAGGTGAATCAGCACTCCAGGAGCCCTGGCCTCCAGGGAATAGTAGGTACAAGCAGCTTCTGTCTGGGAAAATGGGACCTGGAAAAATTTGGGACCTCAGACAGTTAAAAAGGGCCAATAACGGAGGGGACAGGGGAGGTTGCAAAATGGCTCGACTGGCTAATCCTCTGCCTACATGAGACAGCACTCCATGTGGGTGCTGGTTGGTTCATGTCCCAGCTGCTCCACTTCTCATCCAGCTTATTGCCTGTGGCCAGCAGAAGATGCCCCCAAACTTATAGGGCCCTTAACCCCCATGGGAGACCCAGAAGAAGCTTCTGGCTCAGTTCTGGCCATTGTGGCCATTTGGAGTGTCAACTAGCAAATGGAAGATCTTTCTGTCTTTTTCTCTCTATAAATCTGCCTTTCAAATAAAAGATGAGTCTTAGAAAGGAGAAGGAAGGAAGGAAGAGTCGGCAGCAGAGAGCAGGCATAGCCGGCTGATCTGCCTCCTGTGTTGCCTGCCATGTCCATATTGGAGGGCTGATTCACACTTCCTGTGCACGCACCTGGGAAGTGGTAGTCGATGGCTCAAGTCTGAGCTCCTGTCCTGTAGGAGACCCGGGTGCGGTCCCTGGTCCTTGGCTTTGGCCTGGCCAGGTCTCTTCTGTTGTAGCCTGCTCTCACTCTCATTCTCTTGCTCTGTCACTCTGCCGTTTAAATAAATATCAAAAAAGATGAGCCACAGGCTGAAACCAAAAATGAGTAACCCAGTTGCTTATTGGTTTACTCTGTAAATGTCTGCTACAGCTGGGGTTGGACCAAATAGAAGCCAGGAGCCAGGGACTCCATCTGGGCTCCCACTTAGGTGGCAAGGATTCATTGCTCTCCAAGGAGAACATTAGCAGGAAGCTGGAAGGAAGTGGAGCAAGGCCTGTAACCCAGACACTCCCAAGCAGCACCTTCACTGCTGCACTAAATGCTCACTCTTCAGAGATAGCCTTGCCACTCAGAGCCCTGCCCCAAAGATCCAAGTGGACCATATGGCACCCCACAAAGTGCTAGATATGTGGGTTTGGCCCCCAAGAAGCCCCCATTGAAGAGAGAAGGCTAAGAGCCTGCTGGGATTTGCTCACCAACATTTCTGGTAGACACCAAAAATGTGGAAGAGGCTAAAGCCAGAGACACTGACGGCTGAGAGAAGCGGCGGCGATTAGAAAGTCATGAAAGGCAATCCCATCACCACTGGGACACACAGGGTGGCACAAGGAAGGGAAGGGGCCAAGGCCTCCATGGCTGTGCTTGGCTGGAGGAGAAAGGAAGTGTGCAGGCCACAGGGCATGGGATCATAGCCCTGCTGAGGCAGTAGAGTCTATGAGGGGCCAAGAAGGGCAAGTAGTTACACACCGGGTCCCAGAAGAAGTCAGCACCCAGAAGAAGGGAACAGATAGCCAAGAAGCAGCAGCTGCAACGGAAGAGAGGTCAGCGGAGGGTAAGAATGGACGGGGAGGGAGCGATCAGAAGTTCAATTTGGGGGTGGGAACAGAGGACACAGGGTGTGGTGTCCTAGGCCCAGGTGCTGGAACCCAAGGTTGGCAAAATGCCTTCTGACTGCCTCTTATCTTCCCTGGCATCACAACACATGTCCACCTGTCATATTCAAGAAATCCCTGGGGGCCCAGCACAAAGGCCTAGTACCTAAATCCTCACCTTGCAAGTGCCAGGAACCCACATGGGTGCCAGTTTGTGTCCCAGATGCTCCACTTTCCATCCAATTGCCTGCCTGTGGCCTGAGAAAGCAGTCAAGGATGGTGCAAAGCCTTGGGAGCCTGTGCCCGCATGGGAGACCTGAAAGCTCCTAGCTCCTGGCTTTGGATCAGCTTGGTTCTGGCTATTATGACCACTGCAGGAGTGAACCAGAGGACAGAAGACTTTTCTCTCTGGTCCATCTCTCCTTCTCTCTGGAAATCTGATCTTCCTTTCCAATAAAACAAATTTTAAAAGGGGGACCTGGCGTGGCAGCCTAGCAGCTAAAATTCTCACCTTGCATGCACAGTATCCCATATAGGTGCCGGTTTTAATCCCAACAGCCCCATTCCCATCCACCTCCCTGCTTGTGGCCTGGAAAGCAGTCAAGGACGGCCCAAAACCTTGGGACCCTGCACCTGTGAGGGAGGCCTGGAAGAAGCTCCTGGCTCCTGGCTTTGGATCAACTCAGATCTGGCTATTGTGGTCACTTGGGGAGTGAAGCAGCGGACAGAAGACCTTTCTTTCTGTCTCTCCTCTCTGTATATCTGACTTTCAGTAAAAATAAATAAATCTTAAAAAAAAAAAAAAAAAGCCCTCTGGGCTCTGGGTCCTCAGGTGCGATGCCCATGAGGCTTCCCCAGGATCCCTGGGCGAGAATCCCTCTCCGCACCTCTCACTGGGCTCTGAAAAATTCAGAAAGGAGAAGAATGTGCTGAGGAAAAGTCAGGGAACAGATTTGTTCTAGGAAAATCCCCCAGGGAGTAAGAAGCTCCAGCCCCAGGCCAACAGGTCCCACACGGTCAGTGAACCAGATAAAGCACAGTCCACCCAAAGCTCATTTGTTGCATCTCAGGCACATACATATACACACACGTATGTGCACATGTACAAGGGTGTGCTTGCACCGTCACGGCTGGGGAGGTCCCTGCCAGGCTCAGCACTGTCAGGCGTGCTGCACACATTTGGGTTCCTCAACATTACATGGACATGCTCAGATTGTTAAGCGCCTTGGTCTGTTGCCATGGAAACACGCAGGTTTCCAGCACTCTGAGCACAGGCCCCGCCCCCTGAGGTGCAGGAGGAGAGAGGAAAAATGGAGGGTAACAGGATGGAAGGGAGGGTTCCTGTGAGGAGGCTGGCTGGTGGGGAATCTGCTGCTGTTTCCCCAATCCCTGGAGCCACCTGCCCTCTCGCCTCTGCCTGCTAGATCTCTCCTGGACAAGAGCGGAGGACAGAGAGGTGTGGCCAGAGCTGTGCACAGCGTGGAACCCAGGGGCTTTCAGAGGTTTTTGCTTGTGTTAGGGGCTTCTGGAGAGGTGCTCCATGTCCAGGCCTCCCAGGCAGCCCTCCAGGCCTGAGGTTCCTGGCTATAGTAGCTTCAGGTTTGGGGCTGTCTCAGCCAGCTCTCCCTCCCTTTCTGGTGGCTTCTCCACTCCACCCAGAGAGCCTGCTTAAAATGGGATTTCCAGGCTGTGACGTCAAAGGGAAGCCAGCAGCTGTGTCCAGCCTCTGCCTGCTTTCCAGATCAGCAGAGCTCAGTCCAGCTTTGCTCACCTGGAAGGAGGCAGGGCAGACAAGAGAGAATAGGGTGTAGCTGGGGGCTCTGTGCCCACATTTCTGTAGCATCCTGGATGAAGTTTGAAGTTACTTCCAATCCAACAGCTCCGGCTGGTTCCCCCACTACCTTAAATTTCAGCCACAATATGATTGTCTCTCTCCCTAATTCATCTTGAGTTTCTTTCTCTAAGCTGGGTCAGGTCCATATGAAGGAGGAGGGAACCACAGGTCCCGGGAGGGCGTGCTCGCAGCGCCCCAAATCCTACTTCCAAGCTGGCGTTGGCGATAGCGGAGCGGAGCCTGCAAGGAGATAAAAGGCCACCAGGTGGCGCAGCTCTCCCCCCAATGTGGGAGTCCAAGGCGGCAGGCAGATCGGGACAATCCCGTGCTGCAGCAGGTGGTTCAAGGTTTGGTTAGTGGCGCGCTTTCTACTCCTCTCCCCGGTGCCGGAGATTCAAGAAGAAAGCATCCTCGAGGGGTGGACAGCACGGTTGAGGGTTCCAAGCAGTCCCTTTCCAAACCCAGCCTGTGCATCCCTGCCCCCTCCACCAGAGACACTAAAGCCTTGTGAATAAGATGCAGGGTATGCCCTGCCCCTGGAAGTGCCAGACCCGAAGTTCCCCATCTGGGTTTCTGTTATTGCTTCTATCTAGAGAGGCTGTTGGAGCTGATTTGGGGGGTTCTAAGAGGAGAGGGACTCATCGGGAGTGAAAGGTACAGGGGCTGTTGTGTGAGAACTGGCATGAGGGCCTGTGCCTAAGATATGGTCTGGCGAGCGAAGGGAAGGGGACAGGGAGCACAGTAGCAGTCCCACGCCTGCCTCAGGTTCCCTTGTCCTGTGGAATTGAAACGGGAGAGCAAGCTCCGAAACTCCGCAGGGTCCTTGCCAGGGCCCTTGGTGGAACTCCTCAACCACCTAACCTTTTCATGACCTCTCTCCCCATCTGACCCCAGCAGCCCTGTATCCCCTATGAATTACACTCTGCTTTTGTCCCAGCCACAAGTGGGATCAATAAATAATGCTGCTTGAAATATTGATGGCAAGTTGTACACCTGCATCCCTCAGCCAGGCCAGTCATTCAGTGCCAGTAGGAAGATGCCTGACCCCCAGAAGGCTCTTGCTGCGTCAGCCAACACAGTCTTCCTTTGCCAGCACTCTGAGCTGTTCCCATCTTAGCCAGAAGTCTTAGTTCCCATGAGCTAAGAGAAAGGGTCCCTCAGAGATCAACATAACCAAGCCCCAGGGAAAGACAGGATGGGCTGAACCACCAGCAGAGACCCTTCCAAAGCCTTGGTCTCCCGTTTCCTCTGTTCGTGCATCGTGGGTCAGCTAGATCCTGTTTTCCAGGCAACTGGCTCAGACAGAGGCCAGCGCCTCCAGCGCCCCTCCTAGAGCTGGGGCAGAAGGTACTAGCGTGGTCCCAGATTTTCCTGAGGAAGCCTCTCAGGCTGCCCCCAACCTCGAGGAAGGGGGACGGTCCTCAGACTGGAGCTGCCCAGGTGGGCTGCCTCACTCCAGCATCACCCCCTCCCCACTCTGTGCCTGCTCACTTGTTCTCTTAGTTCCTCTCCACAGGCAGATGGGAGCCAG